CCTAGTGGCTTCCTTCAAACTGCAGGTGTTTGTTCTTTGTCAATTGGCTGTTGTTGAAATACCCCTTTCTTGCTTTTTCATATTTTTGATACAACATACATGTTTGATACAATTATTTCTTAGTCTGTATTCATGAACTTAGAAATCTGAGTCTCTGTCTTGTCAAGGAGCTTCAACAAGATACAACGTTGACATGCTTTTTGTAAAAAGACCACTTGTCTAAGAAGACCACTTCCTCGGTTCCTTAGTTGGTCGTCTTACTTAGACACTTTTGAACTTTGTTCCCTGTACGCTGGAAGCGGCGTTCGTGAACCTGGCCACCTACCGGCCTCCATGTGAACTACAGGTGGTTGTTTGTAAGTTGGCTGTTGTTGAAATGGTATGTTTTTGTTAAGCTAAGGTCCCAATTGGGAAAAGGGGCCCTGGCGGGTAGTTCCCGGGCTGTTTTTTACCACTTTCGGGCGGGACCCCGACGTGGCCCCGCGGGGCACCCTGCGGCTACCGGGCTATTTTTTGGCCCGTCGGGGCCCCGATAAGAATTTAATTCTGAGTTAAATTCTACCCGGGCCCCGCTGACAAAAAGACGCCGTGACCCCATCGTGAGAACACCGAGAGGTACCCCTCCGGTTGCCGGCATTCCACCGGGACACATTTCTTACGTCACAGACCAGATGAACAGAATAAAGGTGTGTACTTCGTAAACCCGGGTAAAAGGTGTGACCTCACAGATCAAATGATCACAACAAATACGTGAATTCTGCATTACGTATAGGTCAATACAAGGCATCGTCAGAGAATCTGCTGGGTACCTGCCGGGTGCCTGCCGGATACCGACCAAAGAGGGTGACAAAATTTCTAACAAAAGGAAACTTTTAATGTGACCACGACAGCCGATGCCCGCTCGACTCCTGAACCCGGCCGGGGCCAGCCGGGGCTACTTCCCCGACGGGCACCGGCGTAATTGGGACCTTAGCTTAACAGGTACGCGGGAAGCGGCGTTCGTGCACTTGGCCACCTAGCGGCATCCTTGTGAACTGCAGGTGTTTGTTTCTTAGTTGGCCGATGTTGAAACCCTATGTTTGTTGCAGGTACGCGGGAAGCGGCGTTCGTGCACTCCATCTCGGCGGCGGGCGTGGCTCACGCCGTTACCCGGGCCTGCAGCAGCGGCGAGCTGGAGCGGTGCGGCTGCGACCGGACCGTCCGCGGGACCAGCGCCGAGGGCTTCCAGTGGGCAGGCTGCTCGGACAACGTCGCGTTCGGCGCCGCCTTCTCCCAGACCTTCGTGGACGCGCGGGAGAGGGGCAGGGCCGCCGCGACCTCCAGTCGAGCCCTCATGAACCTGCATAACAATGAAGCCGGAAGAAGGGTGAGTTGTCTTGTCATGTTATTATGTCATACCTTCTCTCTAGGAATTCCTTTCTGTGAGAGACTTCCACATTCCAGGTGTTACGACTCTCTCCTTGGCGACGATCTCTTATCTGGAATGTCTTTAGGCTTTTTCTAAAGGATAGAACCTCACACTCACACAAAACATGAAAGTTACCCAAGTCATGTCCCTGCTTGGAGTCCTTAGCTAATGAAACTCTTAAGTTCTTAAAATAGTTCTTAAGATAGCCTCTAGCGCTTGTGGTACACACAGGTGGTAGTTACACTATCGTTCTATAGAGTAACCCCTCCCCCTCCCTCACGACATACACGAAAGACCCTTCTTCTATCTGATTTAACCTCTTTGGTTACATCGAGTGTAAAAGTCTCAAGATACCCTCTTTAGAAAACGCCTCTCCTTCCAGTCAATCAGCTCCACGTGTAGACAAGATAAGACGAGTACGAGACAACAGGTATTAGTGTCTTGTCCCCTTAATTTTCCCACGCGAGTGAGGACAGGCCGTATTGCCCGGGGTGTTCTCGGGATGTGTGTTCTCATGCTCCCAGCCCTGTCGGATTTTTCACGCGTAGTTGCAGATGGAAATTGGCGGTTACCTTGCAATTTATTTCAACTTCACTAGCTTGTCAGTGATAATAGTGTAAACAGGCCGTCTGTTCTGCCGGGATGTTTGTCGGGGTCGAGCCGGTTGCCTGGTGCGGACTGGTCGGTCGTGTCGGTGACGTCTTCTGCTGAAGTAAACCTCGGCACTGCTGATTCCGGCCGCTTGAGACGCTGTGCAACTGTCTTCGTCTGTCTCCGAGTCTTCAGACATCGTAGGAAGTTTTCTCTTTTCCAGAGAAGCGCGTGTTACTAGGAGTTACCGGGAATATGTGGTCAGGTCTCTAGTCTGTGTGAGCTCGCCACAGTCGGTCTGGCCGCGCACAAGGCACGATTGTTTGGGTATTGTTCTACTTTGTTCATAAGACTAGGTTTCTCCTTTGTTGTTGCTCAAACCGCTTTAGCGAGAGAAAAATTGCGTGAAAAGTGGTTAGGTTTGTTCGGGAGATTGAATTAAGTTCCGACATAACCGGCAGATGCTGCTAGACTGCCCGTTGCTCGGAGGTCCGTGTGGATCGGAAGAATGTGGTGCTAGTTGCTGCCTGACCGCTTGTGCTCCCCTGATATTGTCCGCTCTTGTTTACTCTACCTCAGTGTTCGGATGACAGCCCAGGACAGAAAACGTTTACGCTGATTCCTCTTATCCGCTCAACTGATCCTAATCGAATTAAGGCTGTAGTGTAGTAATAATCTGCGTTGGGAACGAGGTAGCCTTTATCAAACCAAGGAAAGAGTAAATAGTCGTCGTTCCCAGTGTCTATAAGTGGGGGAACTGAACTGATGACATTTGTAGAAGGTTAAAAATGGCCGTGGTAACATTTACCTACTGGCTGGGACAGGCTGGGGAACTGCTGATGTGGCGATCAGATATTTCCAACCGCGGAAGTTCAGGGTTGGAAAAACGCATCAATTTATCCGGTAGACAAATAGCGTCAAGTGGTTGATGACGTCATGTTGGGCCGAAGAGTAGGTCAGTGTGAGAAATCCATTATTTGTGACCGAAACGACCGCAAATACTCGTGGTGAAGTACTCGGTTGCCAAAGCTTCTGAAGGAGTCGCTTTGTGGAGATGTTGGGAAGGGGAAAACAGTTTACTGTGGGTTACAAAGGACGTCGCGACAGTGTTCTAGAATATTCATTTTGTGGTATATTTTGAGACGGTTGCATGATTAAATCTGGATGGAGAGGGGGTATGTCCATAAATAAACCAGGAAATCGTATATCTCTTTCACTCGTCAGTAACCTTTAGAAAATCTCCTAGCAGATCTTGGAAGAGAAGAAAATCGTACCATTTTTGGGTTCCCTACTTTATCTGCCTTACAAATTACGCAAGCAACTGTCCCAAAAGAATTGCCAGAAAACATTGTAATTTTCCATCCCAAATTTTGATTGAAGATCAAGATATCTACGTTTGTCAAGTTCACAAGCGAAAGAGTCTAGAACGTTGTCCGTTTCGCCCCCCTCCCACCCCATCCCATCGTTTCTTGGAAAGACATCATTACAGCAGGTGGCATCTTTATAACCACTTGAACTTTACGTTGTCTCATCTCACAGTAGCCGTGTGAAGGTCTGGTGTCTGTGTGGGATATACACGCGGCTTTACACGTCGTTTAGGAGTTGCCAGACTGGTACAAACAGCATTCTCCCGCCTAATGACTTAATTTTAAGGAACGGGGTTCCGACATAGTTGCCGTGCCGACATGGCCTGTGTAACGGCGCCAGACCGCCAGGGTATCAGGCAAAATATTCTCCCTGCCTCTGGGTAAAAATAGTTAAAATTAGCCCACTGGGACTGCCCTATAGCCTGGAGGCAAGCCGACCCATTTTTGTTTCACTTTGGTAACCTGCTAACGTACTGTGTAGTTCAAATTGTTACTTATTTTCATGGTTAATCAAACTAGCAAAAATATACTAGCAAGGGAATAAACTACAAATGCACAAATTGACAAAACGAAGACGGAAATGTCATTTGCAGAAAAATATATAATAGAAACAAAGACAGACAGAAAGAAACAAAATGTGTACCAAGTGTTTAACTGAAAACAAATTCCTTTTTTCTGAATGTCTGCTATGTATATAAGTATACGTCTGTGGGCTTTTGAGTTCAGGCGTTTGAACGGTTCCTCTTGTTGTGCCGATAAAAATGACGAGGCGCTATATTTGCCCTGGAGCGGGTTTTAGCTGAGTTGTAGAATTAAATCACTTTCGTGTTCAACAAATTCTCCCTTTTTGTGAAAACCGATCAACCCGTTTTATTCAGAATCCGCCCAGCTCGGTCGAGTAATGCCGAGGAATGCTCCTGCTCATTCTTGTGAGTCGTTACCCGAAAGGCAATTCTTGAGGATTAAGTCCTGTATCTCTCCCCTGCATATCTACAGCGGCAGGATCGCGCAGCTATTTCTATCAAAAGCTCCGGAGCTTTCGCGGGGATTTGGTCGCCTCCGCGTCAAAACACGCACCGCTGGTGGAAAATTGTTAACGTTTCACCTGCGGTCACTGGTTCTAATCCCGCCAGCTTGGAGCGGCTCTTTACAGTCTGTTTATGTTGTGGATCATGAACTCCTAGCATGATGTGTCCTCGGGAAGAAGTCAGGAGTGGGGGCGGGGCGGCGGATCGTTAAGCACGATTAGAAACGTATCAGATGGTTTGGCTCTGGGCGATACGTACCTGCACGGCACGCCTTACCAAAACAACACGCTACTGGTAGTTACTGGTTAGATCTGGGTACTTACAACTGTTATACAAGTAGGCTTGTTCGTGTGGACTTACATAACACAAATCAATGTGGAAATAAGCACTATATATAAGAGGCTACATATGAAAGTCTGTTAACGTTTGTATACTAGTATTACTTTTATTAGTTACCATCTTGACAAGCACATGTATCTGTGTATCGCTAAAATGTACGATCATTCTATAGAGTGCCATTTAGGACGGGTGTTTCATTCCGTGCTTTTTTCCGACTTCTGTGTTGAAAAACTAAAATTAGTGTTTTTTCCACCAAAGTTTTGGGTGATTAAATACAAGCAATGGCAACTACCAAAACTCCTCACGTTCACGTTTATAACAATTGTTCCCACGTTGTACAATGGGTTCTGCCTCTCTCGTCCCCATGTTTGTTTGACTGGTTCTATCCTTCTCGTTCCCATGGTTACGAGTCATTCCGTACAAATATCCCGTCATGCCTTGTTCCGTACGTCCCTGTCAGCGGGACCCCTCCCCCCTCCCCTCCCACTTTCAAGTTCCCACGTATCCCTTATCTCCGTTATCAGTCCGGGTTCTCTGCTGACCTGACCCCGTCACTGCTGCGTCACTGCCCAGTGCCCAGGTAGCCGGCCAGAGAAGCTCGATTGCCCCGCCAGATCGAGCTTCTCTGGCAGGCTACCTTCTCTGGCCAATTGATATCCTTTTTAGGCCGATTTCTACGATTTATTCACCCCGCAAAAGAAGTCTGGTGGAGACTAGGCTTCTAGCCGGTATAAAGAGATCTTGTCAAGGGCAATACTTCTTATAGTAGTCAACACCGGTCGTCCTTGGCAGTGCAGTAAAAACAAGACCCAAACACTTACGCACGGAATTCGAATGTTAGAATCTCTCATCTTTTTTTGTAGGTAAGTATATTAACTACCACTACCACAACTAAACAATGCTCACTCATTGCGAGGTCACGTGTCAGACGTGAGTGGGTCATTGTGTCCGAGGAAGGTCGAACTATCGGTCGTATACACATTTCTGACCATGATATTTAAAAATCTATCAACTACGTTATGTCCTGACATAAATTTTGACATGTCTTACACAACGCGCTGTTAACAAAGGGGTGGATTGATATATTGATTACTTCATTGATTGATCATTTCACACGATAATTATCTAAATAGCTGTCAAAGATCGATAACGTTATCATTAAAAACTATCGAGCATCGAACCAGGTCACTTGTACGATGTTTATAAATTGGTACAGAAAGTTTCTTCTTCTTGGTAAAAAGTTCTTCCTAGTCTTACATCAAATTTCTGTTATTGTACAACTGAACCCTGTTGACATCCTGTCGGAAGTTGTTTTGCGAAGTGTTCCTTACAGAGAGGCAGCAAAGCGGATATTTTAGCCGGAGAAGCGCGCTCCACGTTAGGAAAGCCGTGAGTTCGTGTTTCTTGTTTGGCCCGAGTGTTCCCAGTGAGGCTAGTTATGCCACTATTTACACTGACCTTTTCGCCGGGCGGTTTTCCCTATCGGGACGCGGACATGATTTTCAAGGAACCCAGCTGTCACCTCCTGTGCTACTTAGCCTGGGAACCAGCTCATTAACAGATCGATGTTGTACACATAATATCGCCACCCAGCTTGGGAAAGCGCCAGCTTGAACTGAAAATGGCCTTGGGG